GAAACATGCCTTTACCTGTATGATCCTGAAGACAAAGCACAATCAAAGCAGTGGCTACCAAAAGAAATAAGTGTCCCAGTCAAAAACAAAAGTGGACTGATAAGGAGCAAAGGTAGTGGTAACAGTCTTTTAAAATGCTCAATACATTTACTTGTTGAGTTTCTGGAGTGCCAAAGGAAGTAACAGCTGTTTATTATGATAGTGTTTAGATTAGGTTAGCTAAAGCATTAGCAGAAAAATGCCGTAAAAGCTTCATTAGAGAGTCCACCACCATGAAAATGGATAATGCTCCTTCTCATTTGGCTCATCAAACAAAGGCAATTTTGTGAGAGTTTTGATGGGAAATCATTAGATATCCACCTTACAGTGCAATAATCTCCTTTCGACTTCTGTTTCTTTCCTAGTTCTAAAAAATCTGTAAATGATTTCATTTTGTTCTTCCATTAATAATGTAAAAAAGACTGCATTGACAGTAATAAATTCCTAGTACCCTTAGGTCCACATGGATGGATTAAATGGCTGGTGTTCTTGCTCACAGAATTATTTTGAACTTGATGATGCTTATGTTTTGAAATGAAATTTATCTCTCTTTTAAAGTTTTATCATTTAATTTCATTTTTTCCAAAAACTTTTTGAAATCTTCTCATATCTGAGCTTTTGTGAGAGGGGAATCACTGGGTAAATGTATTTTTTCCTTTGACTTTCAACTATATTGGCCATAGATTTAGAATGAATGACTATTTACCCTTTGGCCTTTCAGTTTCTAAAATTTGTAATGGTCTTTTCTGCTATTCTCTTTTTTGCCTTCTACTTGTTCTTCTTGTTTGCTATATTTTACTGACGTTTGGGAGATAGTGAAATAAAAGATACGTGTTCAACCTTTGATTTTATGTCTATAATCATATTTAGACTTCATAATAATCAGATGAAATGGGTAATTTTTTCATTTCCCTTCAACAAGGTAAATGAAAAAGAGATACAGAGAAGTCATTAATTTTCTTAAGGTCACAATTACTTTTACATTTGTGGAACTTAGTATTTATCAAAGGAATGGAATATATCTTCATTTATTTCTAATCATAGAAAGCATAAGTTCTGTATCAGGATTCTCCTTTCTATAAAGGAAGCTCAATGGGTTATTCCAGAAACTTCTAATGACAGTGGTTAACATTCAAGATGAAATCTATTTGCCATCTGTGATGGCAACTTATAACTTGAAGAGAAAAATTAATGGCTTAAATTCATTGGACAGTCTATTGTGTCAGATTATTTGTGTACAATTTCAATGTTTCAAGATAATTTTGCAATATAAATTTTTTTCCTCAATGCATAGATAAGAAAACTTAAGATAAGAAAGGTTAAATAACTGATGATCACTTTGATTCATCAAAATCTATAGTTTGTGATATAATATGGCAGTTAATCATTAGATTCTAGAGTCAAATATAGCTGTGTATAAATCTTGGATGTCATTTACATCTGAACTGGCTCAAGTTCCTTATTATCCTTGTGCATTAATGTCCTCAACTATAAAATAAGGATTTTTGAAATGAGTATTGATGGCAGCAGCAGCCAGTCTGGAGCAGCCACTGTGTGGATGACAACTGCAGCATGGGAGGCACGGCCAGGGCTGTGCACTCCATAGAGCCTGCAGAAGCTTGGAACAGGCTCAAACCTCGCTGCCCCTTTCAGAGTAGATGGAGCAGGAGCCCTGAACTCCTGGTGCCACTGCAGCCACCCAGAAGCTGCTGTGGACCTGGGCATCCCTGACTTTTCAGGGGTCTGGGCAGACCCCCTTCCCCTGCAGGCTCAGAAGTCCCTGCTCCCATTGCCTGGCCTCCTGCTGCATGTGGCACCGCTTCAAGTTCAGAGCAAAGTTGAAGCCAAGCCCGGGTGCTGTTGCAACCCAACTAGGTGTGAACATGCTTGGGGCAGTGCTGAAAACACCAGGACCCTGCCATCTTGGCCTTCTCTTAACTTTGGGCACCAACGAGCATGGGAGGGATCCTGAGGTGAGACAGAAGCTGGCTCATTGCGGCCTGCAGGTGTTCCTTAGCAAGAATATTTTGGGCACCATGGATAACATGACTAATGGTGACAGGAGATAGACAGGCTCCTGAACAGAGAGGGTTGGGTCACTAGTAACGCTCCACTTTTAAGTCAAGGATGACTTGAAGCCTGGGGTCTGTGCTGTCACTTCCAGGGGAAGTCTGTGGCCTGGAAATGTGAACTTATGGTGCTTTTTTCCAGGCCTGTCCATGGCTGCCTATGGACCAATCAGCATGCACTTCCTCCCTTTTGAGTTCATAAAAAGCCCAAACCCAGTCAGGCTTCCATAGATGTCAGGACTACCAGCAGCAAGAAAGTGCAACTCAATTCTGATCTCCTCTCCACTGAGAGCTGGGCTCTCCTTAGAATGACATGCCTGCAGAAAGGAACTACCTACTGTGGGTCTCCTAAGAACTCCTCTGCTATTCAATGAAGCTCCTGCCTGCCTTATTCACCCTGCGGTTGTCCACATACCTCATACTTCCTGGACATGGGACAAATGGCAGGACTGAAAGAGCCATAACACAAACAGGGCTGAAACATGACCCCACCCCTGCCTGCCACACTGTGGGCAATGAGAAGGAGATAAGGAGCTGTGCCCCTTCTAAGAGCCCAGACCTAAGGACTCCCCAAGCCAGGGCTGTGGGATCCTCTTTAGGGCTTTGTGGTTCCAGGTGACTCCAAGCTTCCAGAAACCAGCATGTTTTCCTCTTTCAGACATGGGTGCCTGTAGTAGAAGCCATGTATAGTACATCTAGTCCAGCCACAGCCTCACATGAAGCCAACACCTGTGTTGGCACCTGGAGCTGCTCACCCTACCACAGCAGCTTCTGTGCCTGGCTGTGCATAGTGGTCAGACCCCATGATCAGTCGCCCACACATTCTTCATCACTTTGTGCCTGGCTCACCCACAGGCAGGTGTGGGATCTGGGCTGGTAGTGGGTGCTGAGCATAGCCTGCCAGGCCTAGTGGGCAGAACAAGCCCAGCAGGTGTGGGTAATACTCAAGGAGAAGTTGCCACTGGCCGCTGATGATTCTGGCTGGTGAAGCAACACCCCAAGAACCCTGTAACAGTATGAAAATAATAACTATTAAAAAATAAAACTAATTAAATTACTATATATGATTTAGCCATATTAATCACAAGTATATCACAGGCCTCTGGTATAGTGTCTGACAATTACAGTATGTGTGCATGCACATGTGTGTGTGTGTCATGAATGCATATGATATATTATTTTAACATATATGTTTAAGTGATTGCTGTAGCCCAGAGAGAAATGTGTCTCCCTTCTGTTACACAAGCACTGAGAAGTGGTAATTTCAAAAACTGTTAGATCCTGAGAATAAGCATTTATGAATCTGAAATACCATCCTTTAAATGTTGTGCCACATCCAAAACTTCAGTCATTCTGAAAATAGTGATAAGAGAGTGAGGAAAGCATTAGCTTTATTGTTAGCCACATATTACAGTCAGACAGGTGGCAAAGAACCTGCCACCAGAGCTTCCCAGCCTGTCCCTCTCACACTTGAGGCTTATGAAAATTAGTGGAAATGTTTCACTAAAAATGTACTCATACTCTATTTAAAGATACATTTAGCAACACTTTTCCAATAACTTTTTTTTCAAGTAATTGTAATGAAAATGTAAAATTAAGATACTCAAACCTTGCCATACATCTATGTATTTAAATTCATTACAACAATCTTGTCTCTTAGGCTTTCAAAAGATATTTGTTACAAACTATATGTATTGTATATGTGTATTTATATGTATGTGTGCATGTTTGTGTAGACACACACACACACACACACACACATAGAAAGTCTATATATACTTTCTCCCTTTAGAATGGCATAAAGCAAGCATTTATTTGGAAATTTGATGTCACTACTTTCTGTTACCTTTGTGAATCATGCAGAAAATTGTAGATTTGGTCAATCCTATCTCTAATACTACATAATTCTTTTGAAGAGGGAATACTAATAGTGAGAGATAAAACAATCATAGAAGGAAAACATTAGAGAAGATAGAATCTTAAACTGAGCATATTTTTTCCTCTTCTACAGACACATGAAATTATACTTTTCTTCAAGGGAATAGTACAGAATAGAAAGAATTCATGAATATCTGCACATTTGACCAAAACAATTGTAAAGAAAAAGAATGTTAGTGCTGGATATCTTCTAGACCATGAAGCCTGAGCAATTGAACATCAAGACAGAACATTCTTCTGTAAGCATATAAACAAGGCAGTCATCCTGAGAAGCAGAAATGAGCAAAGTTTATTAGGGAACAAGAGCTAAAACAGATAAAGAAGAGTTACTGGCTATTCCCAGGATGTTTTTGCTTCTTCTGGGTATAAATATTACAATTTTTCTGAAGATAAGAGGAGGGTAAATGAGGAAAGGCAACAGAAGTGTATGGTGTTCCAAGTCCCTTACACAAGTGATTACATATTACAATTGCTGTTGTATATTACCGTTGCATAGTTGAAGAAATAGTATAATATATACCCTGGCACTAGGTGGTAAACCATGATTTTAATCTAGTTCCTCTTGTTTCCAGAATCCGTGTACTTTGCAAATGCTGGTCTGCTTTTCCTTTTCACAAGTGTTTAATAACCTAGAGTAATCTTTGGATCACATGGAAAAGGAAAACATTAGATCCTCAATATTATATCTTAATTCCAAGTTTCTGAGAAGTTAATATGGAAATTGTTTTTTCTGAAAATAATATATCTTGATTTTATAATACAATAATATATATTTTATTTTATGTAAATAAAAATGAATGACTTAATCCATAAAATTAAATAATACATGTGTATATTGATGTATTGTGTGTGCGTGTGTGTGTGTGTGTGTGTAGATATATATATATATATATATATATATATATATATATATCTACTCACACACACAGATATCAGCGTGTGAAAAAGAGGAGGGATGTGGGCTGGAAACGTCTGGCGCGCCTCGCTCTTTGGAGTGCCCTGCAGACGCCCTGCGCAGTCAGCGCTGGCTCAGCTGCGCGGCATTCTGGAGGGGGAGATGGAAGGGATCCGCGAAGCTGGCAGCTGGAAGAGTGAGAGGGTCATCATGTCCCGTCAGGGGCCGCACATCCACGTGGGCGGCGTCTCCAGAGGAATCCTTAACTTCTGTGCCTACAACTATCTGCGCCTGAGCAGCCACCCCGAGGTGATCCAGGCAGGTCTGCAGGCTCTGGAGGAGTTTGGAGCTGGCCTTAGCTCTGTCCGCTTCATCTGTGGAACACAGAGCGTTCACAAGAATCTAGAAGCAAAAATAGCCCGTTTCCACCAGCGGGAGGATGCCATCCTCTGTCTCAGTTGTTTTGATGCCAACGCCGGTCTCTTTGAGGCCCTGCTGACCCCTGAGGACGCGGTCCTGTCGGACTAGCTGAACCACGCCTCCATCATCGACGGCATCCGCCTGTGCAAGGCCAACAAGTACCGCTATGGCCACCTGGACATGGCTGACCTCGAAGCCAAGCTGCAGGAGGCCCAGAAACATCGGCTGCGCCTGGTGGCCACCGATGGAGTCTTTTCCATGGATGGCGACATCGCACCCCTGCAGGAGATCTGCCGCCTCGCCTCAAGATATGGCGCCCTGGTCTTTGTGGATGAATAAGATGCCACAGGCTTCCTGGGGCCCACAGGACGGGGCACAGATGAGCTGCTGGGTGTGATGGACCAGGTATACACACACACACACACACACACACACACACACACACACACACACACAGATGAATATATGGAGGAATGTGTGTACATTTATGTGTGTAAATGTTTTTTAAATATTTCTGGAAATAGCAAGAATACACCACAGCCTTCGGTGAGAGACTTTGCACTCTTTAATGATACTATGCACTTTTGTACTAACAGGAACCAAGTTGTTCTGAAAACTAATAATTGATTCATTGTTTTTGGTAACTTTTATAAAGCTACAGTCTACTCCAATTTGTAGATTATTTTCAGTAAGTAATAGTTGTAACCTCTTTAAAAACCAAAGTTAAAATAATATTTTGAAGATTTGTTGAAGATAACTTTATAATGTTGGCACCATCAACCAACACTATTCCAAGACCTTGACATGCAGTTAGGAGATTAAATAAATGCTTTGTATAATATTATTCAATGACAGCCATTAAGTTGTTATTTAATCACCTATGATGAAGAAAGTTTTACTTTTAGAAAATTTGTGTTCCATTCACTGCCTAAATTTTTTCTGGAAAAGATTTCTGAGAAAAATGTGTTTTCGTTACTGATAAATTTACAGTAACTGGCATTTGCTTGAGTGGAAGATAATGTTTCCTGGGCAAGAAAGAAAGAATTCTAGGTGAAGGATACTACAGTGCAAAGGTGATAAAATGATGTTTACTGTGAGATTCTGTGACCACTTTGTCTGCATGATTTCTGAAATTTCACATCAAGCTTCCTTCTATCTCAGGGGCTTGCATATAAACCCTTTTCCTTTCAGTCTTATTTATTTCAGTCAGATCTATACTTTTAAAATTTATTTCCCTTAAGATACCTCTTATCCTTATTTGCTTTTAGCTTTATACCTTTTACATTACCTATTTCCAGTAAAAGCAGAAGAAAATAATTTTCTACCTCTTTATAACACAATGACTAAAAATAAATGCCACCAGATAAAATTTACGAAGAAAGCCCTTGGGACACATGAGGGTCTATGCTCTAATGCTCATTGTATAGACAAAGAATTACATAAGCACTTTCATTATCTACTTTTATTTGAATGTGTAAAATGAGTTCTTGGAGAGAAGGAGTTCTATAGCATAATAAAGAGATCATAGATTATGTTTTTATGTAAAGTTTAAACTTGTAAAAATGGTTAAAGATTACATAAAAAAATTAGTAATTTTTACACACGGTAATGTGTGTTACAGAATCATATCATACTTGAAGCTCAATTTATACATATTGATTATTTGGCAGTAACTCTAATTTAAGCTTCTGAAGAGTGCAGGCTATGATTATATTACTAAATTACTCTGCTTCCAGAACAAAGCTTCCCCAGTTGTCCCCTTTAGTCTCCCCAGTAATAGAGACCAGCTCAATTTATCTAAAGGTCACCTCCTATATGTTATGTGGACGTTCCCTAAACCATACTTTTTTAAAATAAATAATACTTTTCTTATTTTTCAGGATCTAATGGTCAAATAACTGTGTTTTCTTTCCCATCAGCATCTTAAGACTCTGAATTACTTCACTCATAATGACTTTCCCCTTTCACACTCTAAAGATCTATCAATTTACTAATAAAAATGTTCTTCTTGTGAAGGCTTGGGAATTCCTTATTGTGCTCAAACAATATATTGGAGGCAAACATTCCTATTTGTCAGGATGAATCCTCTTTAAATGGCCTTCTGGCATGTTCATAAATGATACACAATTAAAATATATTGAATAATTGGGATTAATTTTACATTAAAGGCATTTAATTTTACATTTAAAGGCATTCTAGAAGTGATGAACATGCTCACCAGGCTAATTCATTTATCAGGATCTCGAATTCCTTCTAAGTACTTAATATAAAATATGGAATTTAATTCAGGATATTTGTTATAATAAGCAGATACAGATTTCTTCTGAAATATGTACTTTCCAAACCTTTAAAAAAGAATCCATCAGCATCGTTTACATTATGAGACTATTAATTAAAATTTTAATATTAATCTGTATGTATGCATTTATATCTGCAATTAAATATACATTTTTTCTAACTAAAACTCACTAGCTGAGGTCTGAACTGATTGTAATTATAATCCAAGTTTTATTTCTGATACAATGATAAATGCTTAAATAATTCTATCCAATGCAAATACTACTATACTTTTTGTATTTTCAATAATATATACCTATAAAATTGCTGTATCCCTTTTCCTCAAGCAAAAAATCTGGACAAATTTGCAATTATGAATTATAGTGCTTCTCTTGAATTGATTGATAATATTATACAATAATTCATATTCTGTGACAATTTCAGTTACTTAACATTGAAAATACATAAATATATGTACATAAAATATATATTTCTCCTCTTAAAAATGTGCATCCGAGTGAGCATTCTTTCTTTGCTATTCAGCAGTTCTGTGATACATAATTCATTCTCTATGTCCCATCAATTCCCATATAGATTTGCTATGACCAAATTTATGATATGAGTTTAATGGCTTCTAGAAGCTAGTTTGCCAATGCCATGGTTGTAGAAATGGCTTCATGGGAATTTTATGCTCCCTGACCACCAACTAATATACCAGAAAATGCAGGCTGTACTAAGTTTGTTTCTTGACAAGCAGGGAGGAACAATATAGAGTAATTGAAGAAATTATTTGAAAATGTATTTCCTAATCTTCTGTAAAATCCTTCCATTATGTCAAAACTAAGATAGACATTAGAGAAGACCTTTGAGATATGCATTAATTTATGGTGTTGCCAAGAAGTAGTTTAAAAGTAGGAACCTAAAAGACAAAAGTGTTTTTCGCTTGAATTTATAAAATTTATTTTTTAATAATTTTATCTCAAATTTCACATATTAGAGGGTATGATGCGTCCAGATTTATTTATTTATTTATTTGTGTGTGTGTGTGTGTGTGCGCGCGCGTGCGTGCATGCACGTGCATGTGCCCAAATGTATATTTTGCAGATATACATTTGGAAGTTGAAGTTCTAAGGATGTGGATCCAATTCGTGATTCCACCATCTCTCATTGGAAATGGTCACTTGTGGACTGTGCATGTGAACAGGAATGATAACCAGAGAAACCTGGTTTTCTAATGTCCACAACATCATAACTTCATATTGTAGCTTATTTATGCCGTTCACTTTGGAATCTCATTTATTTCTCATTTCAAATTTGGTATAATCCTAATCAGAGCTGTCACATGATGCTGTAAGTGTTCATAATTCATCAGTGTTACAAAGATAGCTTAAAGAGCACTTATTTTGCTTTAAATTGAACATTATGTACCTTGCAAATTTCTATTTGTTATGTATAGAAGTGCTGATCTTTAAGAGCGTCTCTAGCATTTTTTTTTGTTTTCTTCCCATTTACACTTATCTCTCCTGTCACTGATAAAGCTCTCAATGATGATTACATCACACGCATTCCTACAAGTTCTAGCTACTGAATTTTATACTATTTACTCATATGTATTTATAACATGTACCCTTTAATCACTTCCACTGTAATCATCAACTTAAATTTTTTTACCCATTGCCATGCCATGATGTGCAAAAGTTCATTATAGCAGGGAAATGATAATTTTTATATTAATGATTATAGTTAACAGAATTGTTCAATTCAGTATTCCTCAAATTAGTAAAATACATATTTAAAATTTCTTTATCTTAAATATTGGGTTAAACTATAATTCATTTTTAATTTTTAATTTTATAGATTTAGGGGGTACATATTTAGATTTATTACATGGGTTTATTGCATGATAATGTAGTTGGGCTTTTAATATAACCATCACCTGAATAGTGTACAGTGTACCAATTAGGTAATTTATCATCCCTCTCCTAAACCACAAGCATATTAGTGTGTAGAACTTTTCATTTTGCTAGCCTTCCTTATATATTCACATTAGGACAAAAACTTTGAATACAGTTGGCAAAAGCAACTATAACCAAGAAACAAGTAGGAAAAGAAGATGTAGTATTCATATTAACTTGTTCATTAAGTTGATGGGATTTTATTAACAAATATCTAAATAGATATCTCATACTGTGTACATGTTATGAATTAGGTAGTATGTGAAACACTTATATATGTTATCTCAACAATCTTCCTATGAGTGGGTCATTGCAATCTTTATGTTATCAAAACTTAAAACTCAGCCTAAATCATATGACTAGTAAGGAGGAAAGCTAAGGTTAGAAATCAAAGAGGTAGGCCCTTTCTGCCCACTTAATATGCTTTCTTGTCCAATATATGTTACTGATTTCACACACATAAGATGCCAAGTCTTTGATGTTGATTATCTTTCAAAATAGTGGTTAAGGTAAGGATAATTAAACTGACATTTACTTCAATGCTTTAAAAAATCAAGGTATATTTCTATGTTGACTTGAAGTATATTTTATTCTACATCCCATTGGATGGAAGAACTGCCTGAGCTTCTGAGTACTCACTATGTCCTCACTTACGTAGATCTTCTGCCCTCCGGCTCTCTTGGAGAAGATTCCTTGGCTCTAGCTTTCCTTTAATCAGTCAATATACTTTCTTAGTATCTACTAGTCATTTTTCTTCATCCATATTACCCTTATCAATGTGATCCCTGTACCAGGTGCTGGTGAAGAAATAGCGCACAAGACATTAAGTGAGGTCTCAGGTCCCTTGTTTTCCAATTAAATTAACATAGTAACATAAGTTTTATCAGAGAGAAAGATGTAGTAGAGCAATAAAATGGCTGGAGGAAAAATTGGGTAAGTGTATGGTAGACAGAAGAGTAGAAAGGGAGATCTTTCCTATTGATGAGTAGTTTACATTACCCTGGCATTTCTCCTAGGTACTGTGTGCCTTTCCAAAATATTACCCTATTTCTGCTCTTACTACAGTTTCCTTAGTGTTAATACTTGCATTTGCAGTTTCCAAA